TAGGGAGAGTGAGGTGCAGACCCTTAGGGGGAACATACTGCAGGTAGAAGGAATAGCCAGCGCAAAGGCCCTGAGGTGGGAGCATGCCTAGGGTGGCCCACGAGCAGTGTGGAGGTCAGTGAAACAGGAACAGGGTGAGGGAGAAGAGCAGGGCTGAGTCAAGCAGGTCAGAGCACAGGCGGCCCTACCTGTGGGATTTTGCTTTTCCCCCTCAGAGGAGCGGCAATCACTGGAAGGTTTTGAGAAAAGGGCTGACATGGTCTGACACCTTTTTTAGAAGAGTCAATCCAGCTACAGTGTTGAGAATAGACTGTCAGGAGCCTAAGGAAGAGAAAGGGATGGGTTAGCAAGCTGTGCTATGACACAGAAGGCAGTGGCTTGGTACAGGAGTAGTGGAGGAGATATAAGAAATGGTCTGATCCTATACACATTTTGAAGATTCGGCCATGATTTCTTGATGGATTAGTTACAGGGCTGTGAGAAAATAAAAGGAGTCAGGATGACTCCAAGCTTTGGGATCTGAGTAACTGGTGTGGGGAAGAGAAAGGGTGGAGTATGTTCTTGACAGAAGACCGGGAATGCATTTTTGGACACATTAGCATTTGATACATCTGTTGGACTTCTGACTGGGGACATTGAGTAAGCAGTTGGATATGGTTGTTGGGAGTTCAGAGAAGACTCAAGGTAACAAATTTGGTAGGTGTCAGGTACAGATCGTTTGTGGAGCTCTGAAGGCGAGTGAGTGCCCACAAGGAATTGAGTATATGTAGAGAAAAGATGTCCCAGGAATAAGCCCTAGGGATCCCACGTTAGGAAGTTGGGAAGGGGTCGGGGTGCCATCAGTGGAGACTGAGAGGGAGTGGCCATGTGACAGAAGGAAACTGGAAGACTGTCTCCTAAAAGCCAAGGGAAGAAAGGAAAGGGTCATCAGGAGCTATGTCAAGCGCTTCTCGCAGGTCAAGCAGAAGAGTACTGATAATGAGCCTCCAATTAGTGGAGGTCACTGGAGATACTGGCAAGTTCTTTCATTTCTCTTCCATGCAATGCAGGGGTAAGGGCCCTGTGAGTTCGTATAAGATAAAGCAAGAAAAGAAGGGGACACAGCCAGAACAGACGTGGATTCTAGACATGTTGCTAGAAAGGGGACCATAGAAACAGGATGGTAGTTGGCGGAAGGAATGAGGATTTTGTTTGATGGGAATTATCTAGTGCAGAGGGGAAAAATAGGAATGTAGGAGAGAGGGGAGGATTGCTGGAGTGACCACCTCAAGGAGGTAAGAATGGGCAGAATTAGTCCAAAAGCGGCAGTTTTAGTCCTTGGGTGGGCATCAGGTGACAGCAGTCTGCAGCCACAGGGGGGATGGGCTAGATAAAAGCAGCTGCAAAAATTTTATTCTATTATTTCTGTTTTTTCAAACCAAGCAAGCATCACAGAGGAGGTTGATAGAGGAGATTTTGGATATTTGAGGGAAAGAAAGAAAGTGTGCAAGAGTGATTATGAAGAACAAGAAAACAATTGGCACTGGAGGTATGGGATGTCAGTCGGAAAACATAAACCTCTGTTGGAGGTTTGGGGCCATGAATTTAAAGTGGAGCCAGTTGTTCTCTTCTCTGGCCCCACTCAGCTTCATGGCTGCAGGTATGGAGTAGGCAGAGGCTGGATTTCACCAGGATTATAATTCTGCCAAGCAGGTACAACAAAGCAGAGCAGAGGCCAGTGTGTCAGGAGCAAGGGAATGAGGAGAATGATGGTGCACTCCAGCTGGCTAATGGAGAGAGAGGGACAGTGGGAAGGTGGTGGGAGCCACAGAATGGAAATTCTAGCAGAGTCACGAGCTTGTTGTGGTGACATGGGACAGAGTGAGCTGGAAAACAGGAGCAGTGGCCAGAGAAAGAGGTGCCTGAAATTGGATCATGAAGGGATGGTTTGGTAATTCAAGGTCTGGGAATGGGTGGGAAAGGGTAGTTAAGATAGGGAGGAGTAAGCTTCAAGGAGCCCAGAGGCCGCCTGTTTGGAAGGATCATTTGTGTGTTTACTGAAATGGTCACCTGTTAAGACAGGAGTAATGCTGGGGAGGGTCAGAGTGGAGTGGGAGCCCAATCACGGAGGAAGGAAGGCAGTGTCATCAGGACCTGGTGCAGCAATGAGGAGAGAGGGTGGCTTTGTCTGATGGCATGAGATTCAAACTGGAGGCTTTCCAACATGAATCAAGAAGCAGCCTAGAGGAGCAAGGACACCTGTCTCACCTCCAGGCTCAGAGGTAGAAGGGCAGTGGGAGAAATAAGGCTGCGCCTCCGAGGAGAGTCAGGTTTGGGTTAGAGAAAGGTGACAGGACAGTCAGAGAAGTGAGGGCACTTTTAAATGGGATTCAGACCAGCAATAATTCTTATCCTTTGGGGAATACCTACAACATCACACACTCTGTTCCAGGTGCCCTAATACATTAGTTCTAAATTTCATGACACCCTGCAAGGTAGTTTGACACTGAAGAGGTGAGCTGACCTGCTCACATTACACTGATGAAAGTGACAGAATCAGGATTTGAGCCAAGGTCCATGCAACTCCAAATCCCATGCTCTCTCTCCAAAACACAAAACTTTACAACAGCATCTATGTTTCAGAGCTGTAGGAAAAGTAACCAGGCAGCAGCGCAGAAAGTGATTGGGAGGAGGAAGAAAGGGAGCAGGAGAACTAGTTACTAAATTGTCTGTTCTTCCTCGGAAACACTTTTTTTCTTTACTTTCTACTAGTGTAATGGGACAAAAATGTTAAAAGGTATAGCTTCCTCCCCTGGTTAACACCTCCCCTCCCAACATCCCCCCCGACACACACACACACACACACACACACACACCAGGAAGCCTTGTCTTAGGCAGGTGGGGACTTCACTTTAGTGCTGCTGAAGGGGAGCATGCAGCCTGGTTCAGCCAACACACAGGAGCAGGGAGGGTCGGCAGCAGAGCTGGGAGGGGCAGGGGGGCTTAGGGCACCAGGGGAAGGCAGGGTTCTGAAGTGACTCTGGAGTAGCTTCAGGGCACATACAAAAAGAAGGTGGCAGAGGAGTGGGTGAATGGCCTAAAGACTGTTGTTAGAGGTTTGAGAAATACAATTATTTTATTTAGAGTTTTAAAAGAGGTACCATACAAACTACAAAAGCTTTGCAGTGGAAAGTGAGTCTTCCACCTAGAAACGGTAGCATACTATACATACAATTCTGCACCTCTTAGAAAATTATTTAAATTGAAGCAAAATTAAAAAAATTATTTAAATTGCAGCATTGTTCAGAATAGCCAAGAGCTGAAAGCAACATAAATGTCCATCCAGGGAGAAATGGATAAACAAAATGTGTACATATATACAATGGAATTTTATGGAGCCTTCAAAAGGAAGGGAATTTTGTCACATGGATGAATCTTGAAGACATCATGCTGAGTGAAATAAGCCAGTTACAAAAAGTTACAAATACTGCATGATTCCACTTATATGAGGTGCCTAGAATGGTCAAGTTCAGAGGGACAGAAAGTAGAGTGGTGGTTGCCAAGGGATGGGGAGGCAGAGGGAGTGGTTTAGTGGGTATAGAGTTCATTCATGTGGGATGGGGGAGTTCTGGGATCTGTGACACAACCAATGTATGTACATGTGGCTGATAATATTGTACCTTACACTTGGAAATTAATGGGAAAGTGAATTTTATTTATGTGTATTTTTGATACACACAAATTATCTTAAAGATTATTGCACATCAGTCGTTTATTTTATTTATAGATAGACTTTCATTCATTCACCCAGTACCCTGCTGATGAACCGTCAGTTTGTTTCCAATCTCTTTCAATGTACCAATGAAAATTCTGGAACATTTGAGGGTTTGAATTATTTTAAAATCACTTTTGAATTGCCTTTGTTGCTGGATACATTTCCTTTTGCAACCCTGGGATGGACCCACTGTCTGCCATATGCATGTGTAGTTCCAGCTCTGAACGTTTGTCCAGTCTGCTCCTCATCCCTCAAAAGTTACTTTGTTCTCAATTTATCCTTCCTTTCTTCTTATTCAGGAGCCAGTGCAACACCTGAGGCTAGTTCAGGCTCTCAGACCACCCACACAGCTCTCACCTCTGAGCCCAATGGCACTTTCCATCACCACCAGACATTAGGGGATTTTACCCAAGCTTGGACTTCTGCAGGGATGGTGTTCAGACAATGCCCAGCAGCCAAGGCTACTAAACACTTCCCCATCTACTGAGAAACCTAGCTTCTAGCTTCTCTGGGCCCCTCAGAGCAACTCTAGCCCCTTCTGGAATTCCCCCTTCAGTAGCTTCCTGATAAAGCAGCTAAAGGGCTTACACTTGACATGGCAGGGAGCCTCCAGAACCTGGCTCCAACACTAGGGCCAAACCGTGGAACTACCTCCACCCAAGTCATACGGGCTTTAAATGTTTTAAGACAACTACCTCCACCCCAGTCATACGAGCTTTAAATATTTTAAATACATGAGTAATTTCATGGGTGCGATCTTGTCTTCTATTTCTTTGGTATTCCCCATAGCACCTATCACATGAAACACCACATAACCAGTACTCTGAAAACACTTATTTCACAGCTTGCAGGATCCAGAGCATTGGGCCTCCAGAAGCATGCACACTCAACTTATAGGGATGCTTACTCCCATTCCAGAAAGGTCTAAATGTCCCAAGAATCTCTCCTGAGCACCCTGCCTGAAAGCTCCCACACTCTCCAGGCTTCTGCTATGGGCTCATGGTAGCACTCCATAACCCATATCTCTGGAGAGCTTCTCCTCCAGCTCCAGGCAGACCCCTCCAAACGCCTGTTGGACATTTCCAACTGGACGCCCCAACTTCTTATCTTGGCACAGGGCTGACACTTGGCACACGGTTGTGTGATGAATGAATAAGATGAAGTCAAAGCCAGCCTATCTCCCCTTTTAACTCTTGTCCAGAAGTAAACACTATAGATAGCATTTCACCTCCCTCACCTCACTGACCGAAGAGAAATTCCCCTTTGTTAACCATTTCCTGTCTTCCCAGTACCAGTGTCCACGAGGGATGGAGAGACACAGCCTTAAAGAGCAAGCGGTCAGGACCCAGCAGGCACTCTTGGGACTTTAGCGTCCCCTCACTTCGGCTTGAACGCAGGCCAGGCCTGAAGCAAGCTTAGCCCCTAGACTTTCTCACTCTGACCTGGCTCCTACTCAAATTTCCCCCGCTCCCATTTACAGCTGCCTCACGTCTCAGTGGTTAGCTCCGGCCGGTTCCCACTCAGCTCCGCCCCTCCAATACAACTGGGACCCGCCCCAACCATCCTGCTCTCCTCGGACACCCCAAACTCGGCTCCTGGCCTCACTCCCCTGGCCCCGCCCCTCCCCTCCGCCCCGTCTCCTCCTCCCCTCCCCCTCCTCCTCCCCAGTTGCAGTAGCGCGGGGCCAACCCACCCTCACCTTGGAGAAGAGCGCGGACAGGTGCTCCAGAGGGGCTGCGGGCATGTCCCCGCAGAGCACCGAGCCGCGGATGCTGTGGGGCCCGGGCGGCTCGGGCCTGGTGCGCAGAAAAAATAGCCCCTTAGCGCGAGGCGTGCCAGAGTCGGGTCCCGCGTCCAACCCGAGTCGCAGCGCCAGGCCCCCGGGCCCGGGCCGCACCACCAGCAGCGGCTGCGGACCCTCCGCAGCATCGCGGCCCAGGAAGGCGTGCAGCAGCCGCTCCGCCTCGGCGGTGCCCGCGCAGCGCTCCCAGGCGCCCGCAGCCGGCCGCAGGCCCTGGACCACGTAGGCCCCCAGAAGTCGCAGTCGCGGGTCGGCGCCGGCTTCGTCTTCTGCGTTCTCCTCAGCCAGCGAGGCCCGCTCCTCCGCGCTCGGCGTCGTGCGGCCTCTGGCCGCCCCGGGCAGCAGCGGTTTCCCTAGCGACGGGGACGCAGCCGGGGCTCCCTCCTGCGCTCCCCTCCTATTGGGCACAGGATTCCTGGCCCCGCCCCTTCCTATCTAATAAGGTAGGAGAGGGAAGGGTGGGGAAAGGGCGGGATCGCGTCGTTGTTGCTAGGAGACCTGCGGCTGCTCAAGTTTAGCGTGTTGCCTCTCCTATTGCAAATGCTGGAGGGTGATGGTCCTAGGGCACTGCTTTGTAGGATATAAGTGCTGTTAAGGGTCCTGCTAGTTGAGGTCAGATGACATTCCTTAGAGGTCTCCAGACACTGAAAACATTCTGGATGTCCCACCTAGTCCCCAAAAGCGTACTTCAAACTTGAGAATAATGTCAGATCATAAAACAGATGTCAAAAGAATTCAGTGACATTTTTAACTTATTTGTCATGAAAACTTAAATACTTTAGAGCAATGCTTATGTGGACACTAAGCATTTGAAGTGTGCTGGTGCGGCTGAGGAACTGAATTTTTAAATTTTAATTTTAAGTAATTTAAAATTAAATAGTCAATATGTGGTTCACAGCTCAGCCTCAGAATTATATTACCCATTATATTTTTAAGAGGTTTTTTAGTGTCCTGCTGTGTCCGTGCCTTAAGTGTGTGCTTCATCTGACAAATGGGGACTCAGACTCTGAGATCACTTTGATTTCTGTATGCCCCCAATCAGTTCTTCTCAAATGCAGCAAAGCAGTTTTAAATGTGCAGGGTGCTCAGACCCTCCCATTCCTGCTGTATATCTGGACCTTGTCTTCAAAAAGGAATAATGTGAAATACCTTTCTGACCTCAGAAATTAGCATTTGCCACCTGCTGAATCCTTCTCCATGATCAGGATATAAATAACCTGGTCCTCTGCATGTATTAAGGTGAGATGGGACAAGGAAAGGTATAGCCTCAGTAGCATGAGACCTGCAGGTCTGAAAGAGCTCCCTTCTGCCCTGTCACCCTAATTATAGGTACCAACCAGAGACAGCAGCATTTCTGGGTAAAAAGAGCACTTGTAAGGGGCTTTAAAGGCATATTAACAGAATAAGCACTTATCAAAAGCAGTGAGGCTAACAAGAGGCCCTCAGGAAATGCTATAGCTAGAAGGTAAAATGATTGATTTCATAATAACTGGGGCACAGGAGGTGCTATGATGAAAAATGTTCCCATAGAAAATGAATCTTTATGTTTGTAAAGAGTGTTTTATCATTGCCGGATCAACAGTAGACCAACCAGGAGTAAAGGAACAAAAACAAAGATACTCACATGATTTTTAAGATGAAGTTGATAATTGACATTTCAAAAAAAGCATCAGGGAAAAGAAGTGTTGAGGCCTTCCTACACATACCATAGTTGGTAGAGTTTGTATTTTGCACATAGGAAGGCATCATTTTTTTAATGCTTAGGACCTCCAAAAGTGTCAATCCTAATCATGTTTTACATAGAGAATAAAGTCAGGGCCATTAACTTCCTGTAAAGTCTTCCAATAAAGTTTCTATCACCCCACCATGGCCTATTTGCCTCTCATCCTCTTTGTCCTTTTGTCCCAATATACATAAAAATACAAACACGAGAACCTGTGAAGATAGCTTGAAGAGGTCTTAGAGTGAAGCCTCCTGAACACTGACAGTGCCAGCTTTTGCCTTTTTTTCCCCCCAACTATACACCTTAATCTCCATTTTAGAAAGAGATTTGGCAGCAGGGGTGTCTGTATGGGATTTATTGAAAACAATTAATACATCTTTATTTTGTATAATTATGATAAGGAAACAAAATAACAAGTATATTTGCTCTTACTGTGTAACAAATTACTCCAAAGAATATCTGTTTAAAATAGCAGTAGACATTTATTATCTCACATAGTTTGTGATGGGTCAGAAATTTTGGAGCAGCTTATCTGGGTGGTTCTAGCTCAGGATCTCTCATAATATTGCAGATACGATGTCATCAGGGTCTGCATTATCTGAAGGTCTGACTGGGTGTGGAGTCAGTGCTGGGTGTTGCCAGGAGGTTTCAGTTTCTGAACACCTGGACCTCTCCACTGAGTGCTTGAGGTCCTTACAACATTATGTCTAGCTTTCCCTGAACCAAGTGATCTAAGAGAGAGTAGGACAGAAGCCATGGTATCTCTTATGATACATTGTCATTTCTGGTGTAATCCTACTCATTATAGAGGTTCACCCCATTCACTCTAAAAGGGAACTACACTAGCACATGAATACCAGAAGACAGGAATCATTGGGGCACATCTTAGAGCCAGCAACTACAAATGGTGTTAAGGAAGATGTTGAATTTGTGTGATTGTTCAGATGGAATTATTTCCTTTTCACAAACTAGAAATTTGGACTTGCTTCCATGAGCATAACATTTTTATGTCAGATTTTTTGCTGAAATGGCCATACACAATTCCTATTCAACACTTTTCAATAATGCTCCCTTTAAATTCTGGATAGTCATCATTGACAGGAAATTTGTTCACACAAGCCAGTAATGCAAAATTTAAAGCCTTTCACAATCATTCAAAAATTAACAGTTGGCATTATATGTACAGAATTTTAGATGGGACTTACGCACTGCTACTTGATGTAGTTCTCACTACTTCCTAGTAGATCTAATAGGCTAATATGAAAGACAGCCTAGAAATTGTGTCTCTTCAAAGCAGTAATAATTGTCTTATAAGGGATACAGTAGGGAGTGATGGGGACTGGGCTGACCAGAGAAGGCAAGCCCTTTTCAAGGGGTTCAGCTGCTACTCACTCAGCCCAGCCCCAACTCACAGATCCCCCAATTACAAATGGAACTGATGCATTCTGTGCCTGTTAGAGGGTGATAGAGGAAAGAAAAAGGGGGCCAAGTTCAGAACAGTCTGATGGCAGACTTTGCCCCTTCCGGTGAGTGCCCAGTGGTACTCCTCCCATTCATAGCTGAGTCTACCTGATTTAAGCCGACCTCTGTGTGACTACTGGGGCTCCTTTATAGAGGCGTTCTACTGGAGACTGGCTGCAGCATCTGCTGCTTTGCTTTCAGGAATGTGGGGCATCTTTATTCAAAGTGAGTCCTCCAGCTCCACTTTTTAAAATTAAAACAGTAAATTTTATTTAAAAGATAGTGCATGCTCATTATAGAAAATTGGGAAAAATGCATAAAAGTAAAAGGAAAATTTTAAATTACCAAGACTTATTACCACTGTTAATAATTTGGGGGTAACTTTCTTCCACTCAATTTACTACACACATGCATATAGTGATCTTATGATATTTATAACACTGCATGTGGTGATTATTTTCTGAATAGAAAAAGAATATATGCTTATTATAGAAAATTAGAAATTTCCAAGAATATAAAGAAAATATTTTAAAGAAACTATAGATCAGATAGAGTCCCACTACTTAGTGATAACATAATTGACTTGTTGGTATATTTACTTACTCTTCTATCTGCACATTTTATGCATATACACAATTCATATTTAAAGCATTGTAGAACCAGAATAATCACAGTCCTGCATGGAAGACAAATAGAAAGGGGTGCTTGTGACAAAAACTATCTACTGCTAACTAATTGATTAGTCTACATATTTTTTAAAAACTTAATGATGTGGATTATTAAAAATGATTGTTTAATAACCAAGAAGTGATTCGGAATCCTTAAGTGATCAGTAAGTTGCTGTATGCAGTGAAAATTTTAGGATGCAGCAAAGTTCTGATTTGGTGGATCTCCAGGCACTATACAGCTAGGTTCCTCAGTAGTCTCCCTGCCTTCAGCATGAATTTCTCAAATCCATTTTTTACAGTAGCATTCTGCTGATGCCTCTGAGGTATGACCTTGATCTTGCCACCACGCTTCCTTTGCTCCCCTCAATGGCTTCTCCTAGTCCTTAGGATGAAGCCAAACTCCTTAACAATGGAACATATAGTTGTCATGAGGCATGAGGATTGGATGAGTTAACCCATGCAACATGCTTTGGAATAATGCCTTGCATCTAGTAATCCTTGATAATGTTAGCTATCATTACTGTTCTTTTTTACTGCCTGCATCCTTCTGCCATGTTATGTGAGACAAGGCCACTGGTAGCTCCAGGTTCATATCATTAATGTCCATTCCCTGAGAAGGAAGGAATTTTCCCTAAGTTTCAATTTGGAAATTAAAGAAATGGACTTGATTTGGTCTGGTCAGAATCATGGTGGCTGCATTGGTGGCTGACGTAAGCTGGAGTCTATTACCAGGAGCTGTGAGGAGTCTGGCATGGTAGCCAGGATGAAATATGATGTAGGAAAAAGAATCAAATGTCCAGTGCATCACCATTTTCCCTTTCCCTCCTATCTATCCTTAAGATTTTCTGCCCCTGATAAATAAAAGCCTTGTCTTTTTATAGTCTATCGAGGATGTCATATAGTTTCTTATTACTACAATTTGTGATCCTCCTTTGAAACTTTAGCCTGAATAATCTGGAGTATTTTGCAAAGGTCCCATAGGTGCATTTAGGTGTGTGTATCTATATAACCATTATGTAAAGCAAGTAAATTCTATTATGCCATCAATAAGCAACTTTATTCCTTTCTCCCACCTCCTACTTTTCAGGTTATTCTTAGAAAATAAGAAGTCATTTGGTAACTCCTCAGATTAATAATTAATATGCCCAGTTCATTATAATATCAACAATTCCAAATTAGTGTGAAACTGAAACTTCTTCCTGGCCTAAGCCCGGGCTTTCTTTGGGCCAACCAGCAGCAGTGGAAGAGGGGGCTTCCTTCCCTCTTTCCTCTGTTGGTGCTTCTCCTCCTCCTTCTGTATTTACTAGGCTGCCTCTGGGTGAGGGGAGGCATACAAGGTGTGATACTGTAACAGACTAACTGCAGAAGCAGATCAAAATCTTGTTACCTTTGCCTAAGCCAGACATTAAAGAAATCTGCACAAAAAAATGTAAAATAATCCCACTCTTCTCATTCTTTGTGGAAAATACAGTTTTTCTCATAAAACTCTTATTTAAATTAGCATATCATAGATTTATTATTTTTAAATAATTTAACAAATTTTTAAGTGATCTTTTTAATTTTGAATGTAATAAGTGTATGTA